CATCACGATAACTGTATGCGACTGCCATTAAGAATTTTGATAACTACTAACTACGATATATAAAATGCAGGTATATTTTTGATGGATATTTAGTACAGATTGATATTACATATTTTGCATACGAATATACGTACGTTACATATTTTACGTAGAAAAGACAATTAGTTTTAAAGATACTTTATATTTTGTGCGAGAAGTTTTATTAGGAGACTATCGGGGAACAGAAATTAATAGACTAACCATTATGGTACAAATGAATCGTAAAACGGATATAATTAGATTTTGATAATTGACGATATGCTATGCTGAACGAAAATTGCTATTTTTAGATTTTTTAGAATGTACTATGTTTTAGCTAGGATCATTCGCCAAAGAAAGGAATTTTATAAATATAGCTTTTAAAATTGAATTTCAATATCTGTGTTACACATCATAATGGTAAAGACTGATACTTCGCTCAATTTGTATTAAAATAAGAATATGACATCAGAAGCGACAAATATTCTTCATTAAACAATATCTGAATTACTAGATACTTATTACGAATAATCGAGGGTGATTTTGCATTAAAGCAAAATCTAAGAGTATTATTAATGAAGAAAAGCGGATGACAGAATTTAAGAGTTGTAAGTTGTTTTTGTATTACGAAACGTTTTGTATTACTAAACGTGCAAATATATATACTTGCAGAAATGATTGTACTATTTTTTTGGGATGTGTTTTTGATGACCATTGTGCGTACTTATAGTGAGCAATATGTTAAGTTTAGAATACAAGTAAAATGATAAAACATATTTATTCATCTCGTTAGAAGTAAAAATGATTTAATCATTAATTATTGACAATTCAACGTTTTACACACTGGCGATACATGTACAAAAATCAAAAGTAAATTTTTGTAGACATTTAAAAATATTACTATAAATTCATACATTTTATATGAATGCGTTTTCTCATGGTAATCGATGGAAATCTTTTAAGTTACATAATAAAAACAATTCATATTACTAACATGTATACTCTTAAAATTAAATTAGAAATGTTTGATACTCTGTATAAACAATTTGTCTAATTACAATTAGTCTTTTTTCTTTGGCTTCTTAGGATTACGCGATCGTGATTTAGCTTTACAAAGAGGACAGATCGGCGCATTTCTATGAATTTGTTGATGACACGAGAGACACGATTTCATAGGGGGTGGTTGTTGCCTGCAATGTGGATTTCGACTGTCATTGTTAATCTACTTATAAAATCAATCATATGTATTTGATCACCTCATGTGGTGAACTTACGAGCTATACGAAAATGTAATATAAAATCGTGATATACCAGTGGTACCTGAATGTTGGAGCTGGGGGACCCGGGGCTGGTGGCAATGGCCTCGGTTCCGGCTTACTTGGACCTTGAAGAGGCTGAGGTGCGAGGAAAGGCGTGGAACCACCTGGGTGACCAGGATGGTGCAATGTAAGAGGAGGTAATAAATCCTCTCCCCTTACTTCCACTCTCCACTCTGCCTTCTGCATTGGACGGTCGAAGTAACTGAAAGACAATCTCTTCCTATTAATAATAATTAGATTTCCGAATAGTTTCAATTTTTTCTTATGCAAACTTACTCTGGCGCAATAAGATCCGATTCCGTTTCATATAATTCGGGCAACCTCTCCAGCCCCAAAAACTCTCTACGCATACGATCGACATCGTGTTTCAGGGGTTGATAATCATTGTTGTGTATTAATTTAGCAGTTTCTCTTGCTTTGTTTCTCGCTTCTTCCGCTTGTTTTATAACAGCTTCCATCTAATACAATTATATAAGAAATAATAGATGTATAACTAACAATAAGGTGGAAACACGGCCGGTCTTACCGCATTTATGTCCGCGTGTATTTGTCGTAATTCTTCGACGTGTGCCATTTTCTCTTGCATAAGCAAGTCCATTTCTTGTTTATATTCCAGTAAACATTTCTCTTCCTGTTCAGTCTGTTCCACCTCTTGCAAAATTCTTTGCTTCATCTTCTCCAGTTGCAGCGTCTTCGATCTGTCAAATTCAGAATGTTATTTTACAGAAAGATGAATCGAATCAATCGTTCTAACGTGGTAAACAGCGATTTATTTATCATTCAATAAATTTGCCGGGGTTCTACGATACGTGTACTGGTATATGTACTTGATGTCTTTCAGTGCCTCCAGCTTGGCGAAAATTACTGTCGTTTCGGTGTTTGACATTGTCAAACGATTCCCGGCGCTTTCGTTTAGACAAGTCCCGTCAAACGGAGGACAACTTGTTTAACAAACAAACTTGGCAGAGTCGAGTGTGTGATTACTTTCGTCAAGGCATTGCGGAGCGAATATGTAGGTTTTAATCGTTTCAACAGATATCGTTCACGACGCGATGTCCATTCAGAATTAAACGAAAATGTTTGATTCACGATCGAGAGTATTTCGAAAATTAACTGATCCTGTTGACGCTCAACGCTGCTACAACAATTCAACACAATGAACACAAGTCCCCCCACGAGTGTACCATTTCGTAGATGGGATTCTAAAATAGAGACGAGATGCGCGAGTGTCCTCAGTGGTGCATCAGTGAAGTAAAATGGGAACAGCGGTCTTTTTTGAAATGGGAAGCACTGGAGGGATCAGATCTACATCGGGATCTGATAGGGATAATCTATGAAAATTGGATAGAAAAGTTCGTTATTGAGAAAGCGATCTCGCTTCGATAAGTCCGATTTATCCACGATAGATTTCTGATCTCGTTATTAATTAGCTGCGCATATCTAATGACATATTTTATTAAACTTTGCTTCATGCTTTTGATTTAAATAAAATAAAAAGTCTAACATTCGATATCTCCCGCGTATTAATGAAAAGCTCTGGTTATCGATCTCCATACCAATCCCTTATCTGTACTTATCCGTTGGAATTACACATCAGAACTTTTTAACGGAGAGTCCGAAGATATTCACGATTCATGCAGACCAAGTAGTTAGAATCAGTGTATCACTGAATTGGATCGCGTGAGGATTGGAACGAAATCACTTCAAACACGTCGTTTGTAAGATTCTATCATCATTTCTGCAGCTACGATGGGTAATAAACGAAACCGCGTGGGCCACGGACACGACGTCGTCCAAATCGTTTATCAGTTCCGGCAAGTTATCTGCGCTACTTTTTAAAAAGCAGACCTACAACGCAAAGAGAGCGCAAACCATGATCGATACTTAAAATCAGTCGTCAGCGACGGTGACTTATGGATTATGGACAGTGCGAATTACGCTGTTCCGTTTTCGTAAAAAAGGACGTTATTAACATGGAACGAGAGTAGAATTGTGATCAGATAATAAAATACATGTAATTCTGGTAAAAGTACCAAAACACACATATGTGCGACGCCTTGTGGTGTCCAACACGAAAACTTGTGTCTTCGGTTCTCCAAATAAATTGAAAATTTTTCCAAAGCCAAATGATAATGCATGCTCTGATCCATCCATGAAAATATCAGATACAGACTCGATCAGCTTCGTGGAAACGTCGCTCGCGTTCTGCGACAGTCTGAGATTGTTGACCCAACTTTTATAATAACCCAGATAAGGAAAAGGGGGAGAGAGCCAAGGAGAAAAATGCCACGCTGACTATGATGGTCTCGTCGCGTCCCTCTCCAGACCTTCGGTCGTATACACCGTGCATTAGTCCTCCTACTCCTACTACTTAAGCACCGAGTACAAACCTCTGTCGCCGTTTGTATGACTAAGTAAGCACTGACGAACTTTCTTCGGTCCAAAGCTCCCGCGATCCGCGGGTATATAGAATACACGACAGAGCAGTGCGCCCCTGACACGCCGAGGAGCGACGCGAGCCGCGAAGTCAAACGATCGTTTCGACGGGCTCCACAATCGGAAGGAAGCGTTTCCCGCTTTAACATCTCTTATTCTCGTGGATAGAGCATTAGACGGAATTTCTGCACCATGGGGTCTAGGATGGGCTCCAGAATGTAAGTAATTCATATGGACGTCCCGCGATTACTTAAGAGCTTCGACCCTTTTGTCCGTTCTCACCCGAACACCACCCAAGCGCGAACGCGCGCACATTACGTTATTTCACGCAGATTAAATGTGAGAAGCTGAGGAAAGCGCATCTGTCGATAGATTTCTTTTCGTCCGTTCCGCGAACGAACACGAGGAACGCGCGTGTTTCTGTGATTGGAAGAATACCATTTTAGTTAACAAGGGCATGTTATTTGTAAAGACCGTTTGGAAAATGATAGCTCAGGTCTGACAAGCGTTCGAAACGGAACTGCTATAATTACTTGCACCGCGTCTTTGTTGCATCGAACCGCATGTGTGTGGGTCGACAAAGGAACGAGCGGAGTTTATTATAGTTTGTCACACAACGTATTGTATGAGTAAAAGATTTTTCGAATTCTATAGAAAATCGGCGAATTAATTAAGATTTATATGTATTGTTAGTCATAGTAGCCTCCGTCCTTTGTCCAGATGCAAACTCACAATCACGTCACGTTTTCACGAGGTTGCGAACTTGAAATCTCGTTACGTGATCCGCATTTTTCACGAGATGCTGATTTTTGACCAATCGATCAATTCACGGGCGACGCATATCTATACCTACGTACACGTTGGACCGCATCCAGAACGCATTGAAATTGAATGTGAACAGTTACGAAGGAGGGACGCGACGCGACTCGCGCGGGCTCATTTACCTTGCCTTTACGTAGTACGCTTCGTTGACTAATCCGCGCGCAGGATCGCTAGTCCAAGTAGAAGTTGGCCTTCGAAATTGTTTGCAGAACTTAACTCCTATTTACGGGAACGTTTAGAACCCGCACGGTTCTTTTTCGCAATCGCGATGCAATCCGCGCGATCCAATCCTTCGTTTTTATCAGACTATTCCGTTTTATATCTGTACAGTATCTATCACATTATCTGGTAGAAGATACATTTTACTAATAAAGATGAAACATACAATAAGAGTACGAAAGAAGATCAGGTGTGAAAATATTATTTTTCTCTGTCCACTGTCATACGTGAATCTTTAATATAAATAGTACACGTAAGGCCCCACATTTTTTCATTTGTTTATTTTATTGACAGGAGATAAGATTTCTGTGTCAAGCAATGCCACTTAACTGATGAACGTACTATGTAGTTCACGGCACACTTCGAGAAAGAAAACATTTACCAATTTCTGTGAAATCGTTTGATGTCGCGTAAGAATGACAAATTTGTCATTGGATGACGATTTATCTTCTCAAGTCTGCGAAGATTTAGCGCTGCTTTTTAGGATGGTTTATCGGAATATTTAACGTGCTCATACATAGAATGAAAACTCGACAATCGGGGATTTATAGTCGTGTAAACAGACCATCAATATGTATAATGCATGTAGTTATCTTCAGTGCTGACAATAATCCTTGTATTATTTATAATATTTTATTGTATCCTCCTCGACGAGTCTGACGTTCCTTTCCTGCTCCTTCTTTTCTTCAATCAGGTTACGAAACGTTATTTAATTCGAGAGACTGGAGCAGTCGACAAACATTTGTACAGCAAGCAATTACCGACCTATTTACGACCTCCTTTCTACAACTTTTCTCTCTTTCTCCTTATGTGTCTTTAATCATCACACATTCAGTTGAAAAAAAAGTATTGATAGGCAATGGAATGAATTTCTGAAAACCGAGGGCAACGTTTGATAACGCTTCGATTATGAAATCAATTCTTATCGGTATTTCGCCGAATCTTTAATGCGAACCAGTTTGCATAAAAACGCTCGTACGTTCAGCGATTATCATGCCTTGAATAAGAAATTTACATAACGCGATTTCCTGTCATTTAAAGGAAGAGACAATTAATATGTAACGCAGTGTGCAGGTACTTCTGTAACTTCAGAAACACGATCGCACATTCGTATCTGGTGTGGAAGCAATCGGGACGATAAATTGCATCAATCTAACGTCGAGAACTAATCATTAAATTTTATTCTCTCATTTTATAAATCGTCACAAATTTTTATCATTCATCCATTCATCGCCGAGAGGTAAATCGTTTTCGTTGAACTTCGGCCCATCATTATTCCATTTCACGATCGGCTCGGAACGGCGAATAAAATGCAAATCGGGATTAGAGCGGATGGGCGAAGGAGGAATGCGGCTTCATCGATACCCAGTATCGGTATGGATCCCTCTCTACATGCTAGTGCTCGCCCACGTTGGGACAAAACTGATTTTTCCATAAACTCGTCGCATATAAACGCTCGATGTAACAATAAACCGACGCGGAGCGTTAGTTGCAACTAAGGCAACTAAGCTGCCGCATCCGGTATAAGCCGGCGTAAACCAGTTTTATTTGATTTTTCTCCGGTTGTTTTCGATGAACTGAATATATAAGACAAAAATATGCGCACACACGCACGCATGCGCACGTTTACCAGTTCTCTCTTATCTGTCGCGTTATCTGTCGGCGTGCTAACCGCGGGAAATCGAGCTCGCTGATTTTTCCGATCGACCACTGTTCGACGACATCCGCCACTCTTGGTGCAGCGCACCGTAAACCAAATGATTGCACACGCGGGATCAATCCAGATTTCTCGTTTCGACATTTTTAGAGTTAACTTCGACGAAGTCTCATCCACGGCGAGGGTGTCAGTTTCCTGTTCAAAGAGACGCTTCAAAAGTTTGAAGCAATGATTCTTAACGATTATATTGTACTTCGCTCGTACTCGCTTTTTCGTTTTGTACGAAACAGCGAAAAGAATGAAATAATTTAAAGCGTTTAAGTCATACGTAGGAATCGCAACGAGTTTCGAAAGAGCGTTTGGTAATCGTGACTATTATGTGGATTTATTCTCTTTGCGTGCTGATAATTAAGAGCGTCATAGTCTTTTTCGGGAGAGCGAGAGACGTACCGCCGATGAGTTTGACCGATGATAATTTCAATGTAAAATAAGAATTACTTACTGGTTAACGTCTTAAATATCGGATAGCAAACGATGGTCACGAGCAAACAGGAAAAATTTCCGAGGCAATGTCTGCGACAAAACGATACTTTAATAGCTGTCTCGTAATGATTCTCGTCAAGGATTGAGCTATTATGTGGTCGCAACGAATGGTCAACACGAAATTAATGCTCGAACCGTGGAATTTCAGTAAATACGACACCCAGTAAAGCGCAAACGTCGTTTGCGTGCCGGTGATATTTTACGTAATCGCGCACGGCGTCAATCAAATTTCTATTTGTCACGATGCTCGTTTATGGGGAATCACTACGGGCTATTCATTAATTAGGTAATAGGCTACACCGAACGAACGGAGAGCTGTGAGATCGGGTTAAGAGAGATTTGAAGTTTTCAGTAACTGAGCCTCAGAATTGAACGCAACTATGGACCTGGTGCGAGGGAGACGATTATCTCTGTTTGGTGAACATTTTATCGTTTCGAGTATAACGTTACCGTTCATTCGAATAAACAGATCCTATGCGTCACAGATAATTGTGAGGAAAAGGAAGAAAATTCCCGGCTCGAAATAGTCAGCGATTGCACGCTGGGGACGGAAGGGATACGTTTCACGTGAAAGCTACGTGGTACGTACATATGCAGGACCGGTGCGGCTAGTGGCAGCGAGTGGTCAGCCGATCGGAAAGACCTGAACTTAAGGAGGACCGATCCTTTCCCCTCTCCGTGCATTTTACTTCCCCCACGTTGCCCTCGGTGGTCATCGTCGTCGGGGACGGAGCAGAGTCGTGGCCTGCGGCATACATTCAGCTTCAAAGGCAGTTGCTACAGCAACAACGCGGCTACGGTCATCCGGGTGTACTTGCGTTCATCACGACCGCGTGGTACGCGCCGGAATCCGATTGTTGATCTCTTTAAATTAACGTGTGTGCTGCTTCGCGAAACGATTGACCCGCGCGTAGTAGACGCTGAGAAATGGCGTGGGCGTAGGTGGTACGGGGAAGGACATCGAAAGTGGCTGGACACCTGTTTCACACGTGACATTAACAAGTAGATACGCACTGTCCGTTTCGGACGTGAACGCACCCTGGTTAATCGTCACCGCAGTTTCGATCAAGGTAGACACGTTCATGCCAAGCATATTGCAATGATTCTTCTATACGCTTTCCAATATTTTGCTAACGTTCGCCGACTCTGAAAGCTTTCACGAATGAGAAGCAAAGTAGTCAGATTTCCGGACTTCTTTTTTTTACAGAAAATTAAAGATAATTATAATTCTCGACGGCTCTCTGAATGCAATCCCCAAATCGAGCATGCGATCCGGAAATTGAAAACACGGTAGCCTCAATTCTGTCTCATCATCACCGGTGCCATTGTTTCAATTGATTGAATACGCTATCGCGGTTATAAAATTTGAATCGGGGACAAGGTGCAATTATTCTTGGCGCCTTGAAACAATAGCACGAAATTACGACGTGATCTACGCGTTTGTCGCTTGGTCCCAATTGCATGTTAAGAAGGACGATTAGAGGGCTACCGTTTAAGTTGATCGTTGCAATTGATCGTGCAATTGGTCCGCGTTTCAAGGTGGGCGATACACTCGATTACGCTTGTTGTGTTTGCCTGGTTCCGCCTCGTTTCGACCGATTGAATCGCGATATTCTAATTGACGATCCCAACGAGGCTGCAGTAGTCTAGTCAGCTTGGAGACGCACGCTGGGTGCGGAGCATTCACCGTTCGATCCATGTGATACGCGTTTACTACAAGGATCTTTTGAATACATACAAATATTTATTTCTTGCCGGTGAGATCAGTAACGTTCTATTAATTCATCGCGCTCGTGTCGTATCAAGAGGAAACACATTCGAACAGGTTTCTTAAGAAGCAAACGTTTTTATCACGTACGTGCAACAGAATTATTTATCATGTAACTTGCTAATCAGTTTATTGGCAAGGTAAATTAGCTGAAACTCGTAACACGATACGAACTACTTCTTTCCGGGCGTCTGCTGACTGAGAAATTAGGATTACTTGGATCCGGTCAAATGGTTTAAATCGTTAATGCATAATGTATGGTAATAGTATGAATGAAACGGAATCGTCGCGAAATTGCACGCGAAGGACGAGACCGCAAAGTCGTGATCCAATTTCGACGGCTCCAGAAAACAGTGTCATTTCGTGTTACTCGCATTCCCGCGCGCGTTAACGACACGCGCTACGCGTAACAATGCCAAACAACGATCCTTTACATCGCGTTATATTCGATAATCGCGTCGCGTCTTTCGATGCAGTCGACGTCAACAGATGCCATTCGATTCGCCCAAGAAAATTTCATGTCCATGAACGATCAATGAATCTTCAAAGATCCGGTTTTCTTCACGGTCTCGTTCTGGTTGCTTCATTTCGAATTCTATTATCGCGCTTCGAGATTTATCTGCGCGTTCAAACGGAAAAAAGACAGGCGAATTACATCTGAGTTACGCATCGACGGCAAACAGCAACGAAAACGAATAATTTTACGGCGACGCGTTTATTATCTGCGACATCCGCATCCATATTTATCTGGACAAGACAAAAGGCATCGAGGATGCACTCCCTCCTTGAAAAATCGGTACAAGTACCCGACTGGTCAAGGAAACGATTTGCCCCCCTCCCTTTGCCAGCAATATTAAATGCCAACTTCGAGGTGTTCGGTACTCTCAGGCACGTTCTTTCATATTAGAAAGTCGATGCAAGAAGGTTACCGCTCACCGAAGACGACATCGACGATTCGTATCAATCGAACGTTACGAACATTTTTTTATTAAGACTTCGACGCGAAGTCGTTGTTTGGAAACGAGTTTAACGACGAGAAAAATGTAAGGCGAGCCGAGGTTCGATGACGCATTAATTTTCATGCACATTTGATTCACGATGTGAACGCCTCCGTGTGCACTGGTTTTTCTGCTATCTCTCTCTTTATCCACTGGTCTCATTTTCACTCGCTTCGATTTGCGTCAGTAGAAAATCGGGGCTCGCGCGAGCGAGCAGTCAGCTCGTTCGGTTTTATCGACTTTTACTATCGGTGGACCCGCTGATTCTTTCATCTGAGTCTCAGGCAACAGTTAGTTTCGCGTCTGCGAATCCGATCGATGATTATACTTGTCGTTATCGTTACCCGATCGATCGACTAGCTGACCGCGTGAAAATCTCGCGGTGCGCCCAACTGGTTTTCCCTGTTTTCTCCGGCAAAAGTGCCGCCGATCTTGTCTCTACGTAATGTCCGCGAGTGACTGCGCCGCTCGAACGACGATTCGGAGTTCGACCCGGGATCAACGAGGTGAACGTCGACTATGGACCGGTATAATTTCTCGAATCTCTCTGTGTTCGCAGCCTCCGAGGCGACGACGTCGAAGACAGCATGAGGCTATTCTGCTCGCAGAAGGACGACGCATCACCGAACAAAGATGACACAGGTAATTAATCAAAGTTCGAGTTCGTAGTTCCGCTTTCGTCGATGCTGCTAGATTGCACGACATCGAACGGATTAATTTCCGCGGCGATTGGTCGCGTGCCCGTTCACAGACCGCCAGTCTGATTTCCTTAACGCATGTGTTCGCCTTGATTAGTTCTAACTCGAGTTAATCGTTTATCACCGTTTAAACTGTGACGACGCACTCTACGCGAGGCGTAAAACCATTGCATGATGTCCCGTTCAAAGAACATGTTTCTGGATTATATTTTTCATGTACGATACCGAGTTTGCTACCATCGGAGTCGGAGTTTCCGTCCCCGTCTCCGTTCCTCGAAGAAATAACAGCACGAGTACACGCACGAGCTGTTGTTTAGCGAGGCGATTCATTAACGACGCCGCAGACTAAGTCAATTAGTATGACGTTATTAGTCGAAGTTCGCGGTAACGATAAGCGAAACGCGCGGCAATGTCCGGCTACGATCACGAACGAAATCGATGATCGGCGTGCGAAATGAAATGCGTGATTTAAGAGGAAATTATCGTTATCGCTATTGTCGAGTCACGTTTCGTTCGCCTTTTCTTGCCTGCCGACCGTAAACGGAAACATAAAGCATATCAACGATCTTCTGACTGACACGAGAACCGATGAGCTTGATCTCGTTTTAAGCCACCGGAACATTTTCATTGATGCGGAAAGGAATTGGTTAACGTTAATGTTGGGAAAATCATGTTTTCGCAGAGGAAAAGACGGATTCGGGCAGGAAGCAGGAAGTGGATCGTTTCGGATACTATCAAATGATCATGTTCGCGGTAATAAGCCTGCCTCTGTTCTTGTCAGCAGGATTCACGCTTGCGTACGTGTTCACAGCTGGCGAAGTTAAATACAGGTACCGTACCGCTGCATTGGAGCGATCCTTGATTCGAGCGCATTTTCCCTTCCTCGGGTTTTCGATTTGTCGCGTGCGTCGTTGTTTTCGCTATCGTACGTACTCGCTGCGAATTAATCGTTCATTGCTCGGTGAATAAACTCCGTCCTGAATTAGAGTAATAGAATGCGTTCTTCGTAATCTTTTAATTTAAAATGGGATTGAAACTAAAACAATGAATTATGCAATAGGCGCGACCGATGATCGATTTATTTATTACTACCACGTTGTTAACCCTTTCGCGATGAACAAGTGTCGAGATTGGTACGCACTTTGATTCATCTTGATTGAGCAGCTGTAGACGTAACCAATTGAGATAGTTACCAACAAATAGTTCGGAAGAAATTTCTTGAAAGACGATTATAACTATAGTTGTATAATTATGCATTTTACAATACATACTATAATTGTTTTACAATAAAATTTTCTTCGTGGAAACGATACGAAAATAGATTGAGAGAATATCGAAGTAATGAACCTGAACCAGGTGTGCGGTGCCGGAATGCGAGGATCCATCGGACGTAAAATTCGACGCGCCTTGGGTCACGGACTCCGTTCCCAGCGTATCGGAAATGTCAAAGTGCGTGCGTTACACTGTTACAAATCACACGGGGATATGCACGAATCAGACTTTCAGCAACGTCACTAAAAAATGCGATTCTTGGATCTACGATCCGTCGGAGAAGACCATTCTCAGCGAGGTAAAAATTAGAGCTGGCGATTGATCAGAGTTAGGGAAGGGGATTGTAGGTAATCTCGTTTGTTCTCTCGACACAGTGGGACCTGACCTGCGACAACAACCGATGGAAGCTAACCCTCGTGGGTACGATAAACAACGTTGGCCAGTTCGTCGGTTTGATCTTCGCCGGATACATCTCGGACAGGTAAAAAGCGAAACACATCTAATTAACAGACTGCCGATGATAATGCAAAACGAAACATTTATCGGATCAATTAAAAGAATGCATTTTTAGATCTTAGAAGGTAAAGACAAAGATGCAATATTTTAGGCAAGCGTTCTTTATATCTTCTGCAGATATAGTTTTTATGACCGCGTCAAATGTTCAGACGAATAACTCAGGGAACTAAGAGATTTATAGCGAAAACGCGATTAAGATAGTTAATAATCGAGGAGAAAATCAACGCTTTGGACTCGTAAAGTCTTCGTCGAGATCCATTTCCGCAAATGGAACTGGAAAACCTTCAGTTTTTCGAGCATTTTATGACGCGTCTTTTGAGAGTCGCCGGGAACCGAGAACTTGGATATTACAGCGAATGACTTTCGAGTTGGTAGCTTGCATATTCTAATTCGAAGTCAGGGAACGCTTGAAATTGTCCAGAGGGCGTAGGAGGGCGGCAGGGCAGGGGTGTATTTAAATGAAACTGTACTTCGGACAAACTTCCAGAGATCTATGATAATGATTCGAACTTAGCTCAGCGGATGAAACCTGCCCATTCAGCTGTATTCCTCTTCCTCGCGTCAAGAATCCTTCCGCGTATCGAATTATTCGAAAACAGCTACGATCTCCCTTGAAATTTCCTCTTTGTTTAAGTACATTTTGTTTTTATTTTCGTTTTCAGATACGGAAGGCGCACGATATTGACGCTGACCACGTCCTTGAGCGGAATCAGTGGCCTGATACATTCCTTTTCCGTGAATTATTGGATGTTTCTCGTATTCGAATTTATCGATGCGACTGCCTCTGCCGGTATCTACAGCGCTGGATTTATTTTAGGTGAGTTAATAACCGAGCCAAAGTAAGGGAAGATGTTCCGACGTGAATAACGCTGATATAAATAACAGCCATGTTTCAAATGCCACCCGCCGCGCCGATCCTTTCGATATGGACAAAAGTTACTCGTAGCCCATCGTCGGTTCCCCTTGGTCATCATTTTTCCAACGAGTTATTTATAACAATTTCAAGCTATTTTTTTTTAACAACCCTCCTGCGTGTCACACCCCCGTTCTTAACTTTATGAAACGAGACGATGCTATATTTTCCTATGCATCCGGAACAGGGTAATACTATATAATTATATTTCTAGGTATGGAAATGGCAGGAGTGAAGGGCAGAGTTCTCGCGAGTACGATTATTTGCTGCATGTTTGCGGTGGGCGAAATGTTGCTTGGATTAATCGCGATGTGGCTTAGATCGTGGCGATGGATCATGCGAATGGTGTACGGTCCCGCGGTGTTAGCCATCTTACTGCCCATTCTGATCCCGGAATCGGTCAGGTAATTTTTTTTTTTTAATCAATTATGTTCGAAGACCAACGAACTACGTCGTGCTCTTGATTGGACCTGCGGTCTTCTTTGATTAATTAATTAGCGCGGATCCCTGACACAAGGATCGTCGCCTTTAATCTTTGGTTAACCTTCCACCTTCAAGCGCATCGCTTTGTTCTTATCGCTCCTTTTTTCTATCTACATCATAGGTTATCGATAAAGCGTGTCCTATATACACAAACATACAATCGTTTCCCCCTTCGAAAATTCCTGTAGAAAAAAAAAACACACACACACAATGATGCCCTTTTAAAGGTGGTTATTGGCGAATGGGAAACACGAAAAAGTGGAGAGTATTTATCGGAAAATGGCGCGCATTAACGGGATGCAAATCACGGATGAGGCGGTCGGTGCGTTTAAGGAAATGAATATGGTGAAGCTCGAGAAGGTAAGCAAAATTGCCTTTTCTTAAGGATGTATTGGCTATACAGTCAATCCCAAAAGTTTATGTACCTTAGAAAAACGCATTTCCTATAATTAAAAAGAAATCAGACGTCGGAAGAATAATACTAATAA